AAAAAAGGTGAATTTGCTGCGGMGTGTAAATTTAGAGCCAAAATCTGAGCCATGGGATTCAATAAGAAGTAAAAATTGGAYAATGGTTTTAAGTCATTGTTTGCTTCCCCAATAAACAAATAAACTATTTTCTAAAATAGTACAATGACAAACAGAAAACAYAAGACAATTTAGGCAGAAACTTCAACTTCTTGTATTTTTGAAATACCCTGCGTTGCGAGCCTAAAATGTAAACAAAACAAAAACGCGTTTTGATGACGTCATCAGACCTGGCTGCAGTAGCAGCTTCTGGCCGCCAGGATTGGTAAAGCACTGTTTTTGAATGATTTTTATTTTTTAGCGACAATCCACACACACACACACTACAAAGAATCACGTTTTATAGATGCTTTTTTTTTTTTTAAATTTAGCTTACTTTTACTTTTATTAGTACATGTTTGCCAACATCTGAATCAGTTTGTATAAATATATGTTATGCAGGACGTGAAAGCGGTGATACATCTACTTTTACTTTCGGAACAGGGCGGCYTTTCAAGTTGTTGAAACCGATCGAAACTGTGTTTAAAACTGTTGCTCCCGGACTAAAATGACTGTAGGTTTTAGGTAACGTTACTTGGCATGTTTTTYTGGGTTATTTGCGGAAGCAGCTTGGATCTGTTTATCGTTTTTTTCCATTTAAACCGTGTCGGACTCTTGTACACACAATGCTGGGCGGCTGGTTGGTTATGATTTTGGTGACTTCAGTGACCGCTGGTGAGTTCAAATTCTCCTTTTTAGATACATTTACACTTTTTATGATGTGTTTTTTACGCATTTGTGAATTGTTGAAGTCTGTTCGCAAAGGGAAGGTATTGTTTTCATGTCGTAGCCCCACCCAGTTCAGACTGAGATGTAAAAACTTGTTTCGGTTTAGCCATGTAGCAGAAGAGTGGTTTCTAATACTGGGTCGGGGTTTTCTGAGGGCCCCAAAACACCACGAAAGGGGCCGCAGGATGATCTCCAAAAATATAAAGTTTTCAAAAATGTTGAAAAATACACACTTTGGTATAGTGTTACAATAAATAAAAAAACATTAGTCATAAATAATAAAGTGTTTTTAAGACTGTAGAGTTTTTATCTACTTCTTTGTAATTAGTTTATTTGTAACATGCGTGTGAAGTAAGGCCTCTGCCCACTGGACAACACGTTCTGCAGAGACCCCTACTTGGTCAAGTCCAATCAATGACTGTTGCACATTTCGACTGCTGTCATTTTGTTGTTTTCACACTGAAACGTTTGAGCTCAGAGGAGTGTTAATCCAAATAAAACCCCTACAAAAGGTTAAGAAAGGAGAAAATACTACACATTACAACACATAGGACTTTATATTGACTGACTGTAGCAGATAGCTCTATTTAAACTGCACTTTTTGATATAGTTCAGGATCACCTTCTTTGTGTTTAATTTTGTAGTTTGCAGTTCCTTTTTTAAAAATAATAAAATAACATTTAATACGCTATACAACAGCAGAATGAAATACATCTAAAAAACGTATTGCTATAACAAAAGTGTTTTATGACTTGGGTTTGATGACCTTTGTGTGCATTTTACTGTTTACTAATATCAAAAAGTAAAAAAAAAAAAAGAGAACAAGTTGGAACGTACACAAAGAACACAAACACTAGTTTGTAGTGGGCATCTTTAGAAGCACATTCTGCCATAAAATACACACATTAAACTAGGGCTGCCACGATTAATCGACAACTAATCGATTATTAAAATAATCGATGACTAATTTAATAATCGATTAATCGTTTTCTTTTTTTGTTCTTTACTTTGTTTTTCTCTCCAAACTRCTTTGACACCTTCCACTGCCACATCTGCCTTTCTGTCCTTGACACACATGCACAGTAGTGGTAACTGGGGTAGGCCGTGGACGTCACAAGACATTATACAGACAGGCTCTGGTATCATGGCTACCCAACAACGGAGCTCAAAGTGTGGGATCATTTTAAGAAAATGAAAGAGAAACCTGTGCAATATCTGCAGAGCAGAACTTGCCTTCCACAGCAATTATTTTTAGTTAGCATATAGCTAAAATCTAACCATGGTTATAYAAYAGCAGCTGCATTCTGGCGTGATAAGCTGTATGTTTTATATTCAATTAACGTATCATCCGATTAGTCGACTAATCTAATAAATAATCGGTGATTAATCGATTATTAAAATAATCGTTTGTGGCAGCCCTACATTAAACACAGTTTTACCATTTGATAGGTGGATGTTCAATATTGTTTTACTCTAAATAACCATATGCCTCACATTATGTTTTCAATACTGTGAAAAAGTAACAAAAATACAAGATGGAGCCCTAAACGTAGTTAAGCTCAGTGTTACTTAGTTCTTTATTTTACAAATGAACATGTCTGTGCTGAGTTGTTATCCAGACTTTATCAATCCAGCCAAACAGAAGCCTAAATTAGGAAGCTCTTGGGAAAAGAAAGTCATATTGTTGTTGTTCCTGCAGAAACAATGGTGTATGGGATGCTTGGCAGCAAAGTTGACCTCATACCTGAAGGGTTATCTGTGACCAGCGAAACAAAAAGCATCACATGGAAGTATGGGCCGGACATAGCACTCGATTGGGATGGACAATCTGTCGAGACTTTTGGTCCTTTTAAAGGTAGAGTTATGTTTGCCTGAATTTTTATAYACGACTTACAGTAAGAAGGAGAGCTGACCCCAACAATATTTGTTTAAAGGACGTGTCTTCCTGAACACTTCGACGGGAGTGATGACAATCAAAGGACTCCTCCAGGAAGACAGCATGAAGTACACGCCAGAGATTGGAGACAGAGTGGGCGGTGCAGTTAACCTCCTTGTCATCTGTAAGTAAAAGGATTTTTACGTGACGTTACTTACAAAGTAAAGCTGTGGGAGAGATTTGGATTTTACGTGCTCACTGTGAAGGAGCATAATGGTGTTATTATTTTTTCTCTTAATGAAACAGCTTCTGTTCCTGTACCAACCATTGGTAAATCCCAACCAGACCCAGAAAAGAGAGAATTCATCCTGACATGTGATGGAGACACAACAGGAGCCGAGCCAGTCAACTACACCTGGAAGGCAGACAATAACTTGCTGACAGAAATCTCTAAAACACACCACATTGTTGAGGTATTATTTATATATTATTTATAGTGTGTGTTAGGCTATGTTCACACTGCAGGTCTTAATACTCAATTCTGTGGTCATTCACATCATACACTATATTGCCAAAAGTATTGGCTCTCCTGCCATGACTCACATGAGCTTAAGCAACATCCCATTCGTAATCCACAGGGTTCAATATGACGTTGGTCCACTCTTTGCAGCTAGAACAGCTTCAACTGTTCTGGAAGGCTGTCCATAATGTTTAGGAGTGTGTTCAGAGTTTCCCCTACCATTATTCAAGCC